AACAAATAATACTACGATTGCAACTGAAAACAATGTCTGTATAGTAAGGAAGTAGTTATGTCTCAGTTCAGCTGTTTCATACTTCTGTCAGGGGAAGTGTAGACTACTGGACTAGAACTAAACTTACTCAAGGTTCTGGTTGTTACCCATAGATTCACCAAGTCAACAAGCTAATATGCTCCTGCACTCTTCCACCCCTGAAGAAATTGTTCACCCCATGATCCTTCCAGCAATAGCAGCAAATAAATGTGGAATATGGAATATAACACAGTAGGGCCCTGGACACTTTGCTATGACAAGCAAGAGTGATGCAACTACTGTCCAAATAATGTGTCAGGACAAAAAGGGCAAAATAAAATGTTTTCCCTTTTTGTGATTAGAGTGTTGTTTTCACAGTAAAAATTGTGAACAAATACAGAGAAATATTGTAATATGGTAGCAGTTAAAAAGTTAATTAACAACAATTTGAAGTTGACATTCATGTGAGACTTATTGTAAGATTACAATATTCAAAAGGCTGGATGATGAGTTTGTGTGTTGTTAAGGTGAACTGCTTCAGAGAATGATTCACTGTAGATGATTCTGTGTTGATAAAAATAAAGTAGTGCTTTACTCGTGACACCACTAGGTGGTGGTGTTACTTCGATAACTTCCTCTGAATGCTGTACATGTCTGTCATTGGTGACAATGACAATGATAGCTTAAGGAAGAAAGAGCACATCACCCCACTTCTAAAATCCTTACACTGGTTCCCTGTAGCTCAGAGAGAAGTTAGTTTATTTTAAAGTCTTCACTGAATGCCTTAGAATTAAAACATATTTTTAATGCTCAAGCCCCAACAGTGAAAATGATATGAAGTAAATCTATTATAATTTAAGCTCTTACAGTATGACCCATGTTCTGGGAATCATTTTGTTAGAGGTTAAGCTGTTGTGTGTTGTCATGATGATTTATCTTTAGTGTTTTTCATTAATTTAAATAAAAAAATAACAGGGGACTGCCTGTAGTTTGAAGGGTATAATTTCAGTACATTTTAGTTAGTTTTATAAACGCATGATACAGTTTCAGTTAGTTATTAGCTTCTAGTGATGTCATGTTAACAAAATTCTTAGATCTTAGATTTTTTTTAGAGCTAAGAAAATGTTAAGATTCTAGATTTTTCTTAGATTCTTAGAAAAATCGAAGACTAGATTTTCTTCACTGTATTTATATTCTAAAATATGTATTTATACGGTAAAATTCTGGGAACCACAACTGCCGGTATTTTTTTTATAAATTGGAGACTTTTTGTAAAGTGAAGATAAGACACATGAAAAAAAAGAACAAAAGAGGAAGTAATGTGTTTTACAGGCTCACTTGAGGAACAGTCTGGGTCATGAATGCTCTTTGCGGTGCTGAGGTGGGAGGGCCATGCATCGCTCCTCTGTCTGTGAAAAGACTAATGAACTTTGATGTTGACAGATAACAGCAAGAAAAAAACTAATGACAAGCGCTCAAAGCTTCTGACAGAAACATCTATGAGGGTTATCACAACACAGTTTCTCAGCCGAGAATGAACCACAGTTGAGTTATTCTACAAACCAAATTAAAATAGGTGATAGGCGGTCTGGTATATTTTAGAAGTACCGTATTTTCCGCACTATAAGGCGCAGCGGATTATAAGGCGCACTGGATTATAAGGCACATAGAATAGACGCTACAGTAGAGGCTGGAGTTACGTTATGCATCCACTGGATGGAGCTGCACTAAAGGGAATGTCAACAAAACAGTCCGACTCAGGTCGGTGAGGAGAGCCTTCCGCGACTGGGCCTGGCCGTGGCCGGAAGATGGCCACCCTTCTCCGTTCGCGCACAGCATGTTGGTGGAGAACGTGGTGCTAAATGACCTGCAGACGACCTGGTAGGTCAGTAAAATTTTATTAACAAACCAGCGTTCTGACAACTATCCCAGCATGCACCACGCGCTTCTTCTTCTATGGGCAAAAATAAAGTTGGCGGCTGCTTACCGTAGTTGCTAGACCTGTTGTGGCTCAATATTGGTCCATATATATAAGGCACACCGTATTATAAGGCGCACTGTCGGCTTTTGAGGAAATTGAAGGTTTTTAGGTGCGCTTTATAGTGTGGAAAATAAGGTAAGTTTTGTTAGTGCGTATTCTTCCTTTGCAGATCATTTATTTTTGTTTCAATGAGAACCACAACTTGATATTGTTTGTATAAATTTAATGTAAATGCTGCATGTATGAAAGAAGAAAAATTTCAGAAAAGCCAGTTTCCGATTATAGCTGTGCTAATTTTCTCACAATGCAGCACGTTGCCCAGACTTACCATTGCTGTAATGCTCAAAGTCAATGTAGCATCTATGTTTGGCCCCAAACATGAACTCATCAGCACTGTTGTGGAAACATAAACTCACTGGTTTCCTCTAAATGCTTCTAAGAGCAGAGTAACTTTACTTCTGCTTTAGTTGGTCTGTTGCCTTGAGGAACATGAAGATGTGGAGTCTTTACAACTTGATCCTCATGTGCAGTAAGTTAAATTATTTGAGCTTGAATATTTAGCTTTTCTGTAATAAGTTAATTTGTTACCTTGTAGATAATGAAAAGCACTGAGCATGTCAGCTAATAATTAATGACATGCAAAGATTTCAAGGGAATTAAAATAACTCCTTTTCAGCAGCTTAACCATGAAACAACTAAATTAATACTATCTTCTCATTTTAGCCGCTATGAGTTGTGTGACCAGTGATGTAATCCCTGTGTTTGGATATGTGAGTAGTGCTGCAAGGGTTTCCTGTCCATATCCTGCTGGATATGAGGATTATGAAAAGTACCTGTGTAAGAACGACTGCAATGACGATGATGACGTTCTTGTTAAATCAAAAGGAAATAGCAACAAATACTCCATCTATGATGACCAAAAAGCACTAACCTTCACTGTGACCATCTCTCACCTTCGATTTGATGATGCTGGAAAATACTGGTGTGGAGTGACCAGAACAGGAAACGATATCTACACTGAAGTAAAGCTGGAAGTTGCAAATGGTAAATAACAAATATCAATTTTCACACATTTTATTTCATTAGGTTTTTTTAGTCTGTTATGGATAAATACAAATGGTCTTCACCTGAAAGATGTATGCTTTCATTTTAGTACTAATTAAGTTGTTGCTGTAATGATCACAGAGTTTCATTCAGTCATTAGAAACTATAGTGTCAAGGTTTGACAAATGTAGAATCTGTCAGATCTGTTCTTTCAAAACGTGTCAATGTGGGCAGTATGATAATAAATTATATTGTTGGTAATGAATTTAAATTTAAAACTACTGTAATTACACAAAGACAGCATAACAAAGGAAATAATTTAGGTATGACAAGAAGAAACTAATATTGAAAAGAGACAATGTGAAGAAAAATTTACAATTTTGAGGAATGATCATTTCATGGTTTGATCAAAGAGCAGATAATTCTAGGACGATGTTCACACTCCAAGTCTTATCTTATCTTTTATATAAAAAATATATAAAAGATATTTTTATTTTAGTTTTTTTTTTACCTAAATAAATAAAAGCTATTTATTTCTGCCAAGAGGCAGAAACAAATACAACAGAGTAAAATAATAAAAAATAATAATTATATGTTAAGCTATAAAAAAGGTACATGTCGTAGAATCAGCCTCTAGCACTTTTAGTTTATCTTTAAAGTCTCTAAAAAATTAGTTCAGTCAGTATAAAAGTTTCTTGAAACAAGTTCTTTGAAGAGCGAGCACAGTGAGCGAAAACCTTCTTGCTCAATGGACCTTATCACAGGGGCCGTGTTTCATTGGCTAATGCCCATTTGACGTCACTGCGCAGCTACCACGTGCTTGACCGTCTCACAAACAAAAGCTAAAGTAGTAAACACATGCTAATGTAGATTGTGGACTAGCAGACCACAATCTACACAATCAAAGTTTTTGCGACAGAACTCAAATAAGAAAGGTTCTCTACTGTCAGTGGGGAATCTGTACAGGCGATGTCAGGTATCCTGATCGTATTTGTGGAGATAAAATTCACAGATTTCCCAAATCTGATACGGAATGCCTAGCTTGGCTCAAAACTTGTGCACGACCGCATTTGCAGCTCAACCGTCGTAAGATCAATAAAAACAAAGGAGTGTGTGCTGGTGTAAGTATTATTACTTTGCTTTCCTTGTGTTTAGTGAATGGGGATATTTTGAGTGGCCCTGCGACAGCCTGGCGCCCTGTCCGGGGTGACCCGCCTCTCGCCCGGAACGTTAGCTAGAGATAGGCACCAGCACCTCCCGATCCCTTTTGAATTTTGAAGCTTGAAATATTGTAAGGTCTTAAGGAGACCTATAATGTGTGAACAATGACCCCCAAGTCTGAAAAAAGTCAATAATAAACACATTCATTATGAAAACCTTTTAGCTAAGTACAGCATAATGGCAGTACTGATCCAACTTCTACACCTTGAAGCCTGTCTGTTACACAGTCTTACGTTAGCTGAACAGATCAATATGCAATGTGTACCGTATCTGACATGCATTAAGGATTTTATTTGACCTGAAGAGGCTTTTTACGAAACTGTAATCGTGTTAGCCACGCTAGCACCAGGTATCAGGCCTAGGCACACTCAAACATTTGCCAACAACAGAAATCACTGATTCCAAAAGTAACCCTCAAAACCATGAATGCCCGACTTACCCAGCCTTGCAAGAACAATAGGCACCAGTGATCTTGTCCACAACTATATTTATGCAGAGGGTGTGAGGATCTGCTGTTTTCCTCATCGACCGGTAGCATTTAGCTGCGACGCGCACAATGTTGGAGGCATCGCGTGGCTCAAACACCTTGATGTTGTCCAAAAAATATGACATGAACTTGTTGGTTCCCCTGTCCATTGTCGTGGCTGATATTTTTTGAAAATCCCAGAAAGGCTACACTAATTGACTCAGAAATACTTTGTAGAGAGTCAGTTGAAACGAAAGACGCCATGTTTACACATAGAAACTAAGCTCCGCGAGGCTTTGTTTGTGAGACATGCAGCCACGTGGGACTGTCGAGGGGCGTTTCTGGGCGAAGCTTGGTAAGGTCCATTGAGTCCGAGCAAAAGGGACAGATAGAAGTAGCAAATCATTTGAGCAAAGAGTATAAGAGTCTACATTTCTCAGTGAAATTGCAGAAAAAAATTATGCCAGCAGGAGTCCAAGTATAAGCTGTAGATAAAACTTAACCAAAGGGATTTCCTTTGGGTAGTCAGACCTGGCCATCCCACCTATGAATATAAATCACATTTTGCAATTTGCAATGAACCTCAGAAATGTAAACAGAATCAAGCATCTTAAGTCATTGTGTAGAAGCAATCATATACAGAAGATCTCCATGGTCCAACACAAACAGAAAAGTTGTAGAGACGAGCCTCATCAACCAAAATGCCTCAGTATTTATATATGTGAACCAGCTTTTATCTGTATCCATATTATATAAATATATGTGTGAACGAAATTGTGGTAGGACAAGACAATCTTCCAGGACAATCAAGCACAAAATATTAACACAATAATTGTGTGCATTAAGTATGCTAAGAGGCCTAGTTTACCATTGATGACTTACTATTAAACTTTTATTAATATCTTTAAAATGTCAACACAGTTTAAAATCTTTCCTGGTCATTTTTGTGAGATTTTCAATTGAATTCAGTAATTTATTGCCAAGTAGCAAATAAAGCTCCACAGAAAAAAACTGAAGAATGTGCTGGTGTGAACTTCACTCAGGTAACTGAAGCCCAACTCTGAGAACAACAGCAGAGTTAGCATCCGCCGTGATGTTTTCATCCATTAGCTCTCAGCGGCACAACATTGAGAGTCTGTGACGCACAATGACATCAGACTTGGACAAAATACGACATGGCAGTTCAGACAGGGGTTTTGATGGGCAAAAAAAACAACTTCCATTTTCCCTGCAGGGTGAACACTGCCTTAATTAAGCAAAATATGAAATATAGCCCAAGAACGTATGTAAGGCAAAAATGGAAATTAATATAAAGAAACCAAACAAAAATACTGTGAAACCTGAAAAACCATTTATTCATATATTAATAGGAAACTGTATGCCACAGCTCACTGAAGATATGATGGTCGGAAATATTGGACAGAATAGAAAAAACTGAACTTAAGTCATCTGAAAATTTGTTGCTGTTATTTAGTGTGATTTTACAGTGTTGTTTATCTTACCCACAGACAGATGGGTTGGAACGCCGACTAAAATCCAAGGCAATGAGGAAGGTTTGGTATCCATCAACTGTTCTTATAAAACCGATGATGATGTCAACAACCTGAAGTATGTCTGCACAGGAAACCGGCGCTCCGTATGTTTACAGCAAGCAATAATCACATCTAATAAAAGACAAAATGGACGATTCAAACTCACTGATGACAAAAATGCGAGAGTTTTCACAGTCACCATTTCCAGACTGAGCCTGAGGGATTCTGGGTCGTATCTTTTTGGTGTCCAGAGAAACGCAGGATGGGATGGTTTCTGTGCTTTTGAGCTGGAGGTCAAAGGTGAGACATTCAAACTTTACATTAACTCTATGGATTTCTGAAGGGCAACAGCTGATATGTTTATTTTCTGTGTTGAAAACAACTAAATGAAAAAGACAGATCTGACAATGATTCTTCTATTTTATAAATTAGACTGGTGCTGTGTGACGTCCAAGTACATGAAAGGCATCGAGGGACGTCAGATAACATGGCAGTGTCCTTATCCACGTGAACATCGTAATAACAGGATGTTTATCTGCAAAGGAAACCAACGCAGTGACTGTACAGACATGATGGGTCAAACGAGGTTCGCAGTGCACAGCGTTTCTTCCAGCTCTTTCTCTGTTTCCATCACTAACTTGGAAGCAAGGGATGCTGGGACATACTGGTGTCGATCAAACTCAGAGTGGAGTGTTGGAAGCTACATCCAGGTTCATCTATCTGTAGGTAAGAGGAGCACAGTGACACATTAATGAAATATTGAATAAAAGTAGTTTTTAATTGTCAACTGTGTAGGGTAAGGAACTTGAAAACTAGTTGGTAAGATATTATGGTGGTAGACTGTTTAAAGTTCATGTGTTCAATGGTATCTGGTCTTGCACAGTTTTGTCTCTCTGGAAAAATCTTATATTTATTTAAACTTATTTCCTTATTTGTTGCAGAAAAAGAACAAATTACTGAAAATAAAGTGCTGAAGAATCTGCCAAAACAAAAACAGATGGAAGGTGAGACCTTAAATGACAAGAACATACCAAAGACTAAAAAGAGAAAACAAATCTTAAAACACCAACATTATTTTCTGTACATGCCATTTACTGCATGTTTGACACATGCAACATCGATCTAATTTGAATAGCTGCTCCTCAGTGGAGATTTTATCACATCTGAGCCTCACAAGCCAGCCGTACCATGTGACTAATCAAGAAAATGGTTGACAAGTTTGATCGGAAATCACATTTTGCTGGTTACATCTATTTTTTTTTTTTTACTTTGGACTTCATTGCATTTTTTTGTGCAAATATGCAAAAGAAAGAAGACTTGCCTTTTTCGGGGAAATAATCTCATCTGACCTCTAATAATAAGTTATACAGATAGTAGCAATATAATAATTAATCAGAAAAAACTGATACTGTAGATAGGGCACGCAGGAGAACTGGTAGGATTTAAACTGGGAGAGTTTCATCAGTCGGTGATTTGCAAGAAAAGACGAGCAAAGATCTGACAGGGACTGACTTGACTGATGAATGTAAATAAAGAGGAAGTAATTAAGTAGAATAAAAAAAGAAGAGCTTAAATGTTGAGAAACAGCTGAGGAGACAAAGACTGAGTAAGGTGGAGGAGAGAGACTCATCACTGACTCCAAGTAAACAAAGGGATAAAGAATAACTAAATAATAAATAACCAGCACTGTTTGCTTATCTAACCTCTTGTGAGGCTGTAACATAAAGCAGTAGGCCACTTAAATAACTGTGTTTCTACTTTCTTACCACTAAACTCGGCTGCAGTGTGGTGGCTGTGGGGAAGCAAACAGACGACCTACTCAAAAGAAGCGAAGCAAAAAGAGGATGTGGCATTTCACATAGGGTACATTCACACTGCAGCCTGAAGTGACTCAATTCCGATTTTTTTGCCGGGGCCGTTCACACTGCCAGTAAATGCAGCCTGTATGCGTTCTGCAGTGTAAACCGGAAAACGACCTGAAAGTGTCCCGCATGCGCAGTAGAGGGCGCAATAGCGTCAGCGTTCTCAGTGTTCTGCCAACCGCCATAGAAAGAAGAAGTGCTCAGTGTTTGCGGAAGTAAACATGGAGGCTAACGGTGGAGCTTAGTGTACATATTTGAAGTTGTTGTCCGACTGGAGCAGCATATTAACAACTTAATCCTCATATAGTCCGTCATGGTTGTTGTTTTTCTGCCTGCTTGCGTTTATCAGGACGCAGAATAGTGAGATTTGTTGAGAATCAGTGACGTTCAGTTCGGATGAATGCGAGGTCGCATTCGGATGAATGTTAGGTCGCATTTGAATCGAAGACGTATCAGATATGGGTCACATTCGAAAAAGAATCCGACCTGTGCTGTTCATACTGCCATGAAAAAATCGGAAATTACGTCAAAAAAATCGGAATTGAGTCACTTCAGGCTGCAGTGTGAATGCACCCATAGTGTAAATTAGAAATTCTATGTGATCGAAAAATTTAAATCTTCTACTTCAAAGTAAAAATAAAAGCAAGAGGAAGTGAACTAATAGTATTTATTTCCGTTACAGTGTATCAACGCCAGACCACCACAGTCACTGCAAAGGTCACTACAGCTTCACCTCAGACAACAACTAGCATCCCTGACGAATCTGATCAAGGTAGAGTGGAGAGACGGAGTCGGTCCATCAGATTATTTCTGTTTTACTCATAAACTACAACTTCCATCAAAATTCAGAAGGACCAAGCAAAGACTTGACATTGAAAACAAGACTTCTAGATTTCAATGTCTGTCTGGTGACAGGTTGCCCCTCTGGGGCGATGTTACCTGGACCTAGGAGTATAGAGAGTATATGGGGAGAGAGTCGTGATCATGTCCTGTTGGACAACACAGGATATAAAATGTTCACTATTGAACATTTTTGTGGAGAAACCTTACAGACACAAACGGAGCTATAGAGGGGGCTGTGGCCCCCAGACGGTGCCAGGAAGGGAGGAATGGTTTCAAGTTGCTTTAATCTCTTATTATAGATGGAGAAAATTCGCCCTCGCCTGTTCAGAAAGGTTTATGTAATGTTAAACATACTGTCCCTCAATGGAATATATAGTAGTCAGTCCCATGGACTGTTTCACTCATGGCTTAGCCAATGTGCTTCCTAGGTAAAAATCAAATGACAAAACGCGGCCCAACCCCCCGGACCCCTCACGTGTACCGCCCCCCCAGGTGATACACGTGAGGGGACCAGTCATTGGCCCCGCCCCCCAGCCCGACGGTGACTTGTACCGCTAGTGCACACAGGTGTTTATTCAGGTGTTTGTTAGATACACTCATTTGGACAGCGTTTGCCACAAACATATTTACATATTTATTTTTCCCCTGTACTTTCAGTAATGTTATAATTGTTATTATTTATGTTTTTTGTTGCTGTCGGTATGTTTTTTCTCTTTCTGCAGGTTTAGAGGCAGACTTCTTGTTGACTTCTGCTCTCTCTATGCTTCTAATCCCATCTCTTTTCCCTTTAAGCCTTTTCCTGCCTTTCTTCATTTCTTTTTTTGTCTCAGTGCTCATTACCATCGGTTTTCATCTTTATATGCACCGTAGGTGGAGCTCTCTATGGGCTTTTTGTTGGACCTCCTGTCCTACTAATGATAGTGATTATTATCATCCTGGTTGTGTGCAAGAAAAAACGTCACAAAGTAAAAGGTGAGTTGAGTTTTTCCACTGCCAACAACAGCAAACATTTCTAACAACTAATTTTGTTTTATTGTGCTTTTCTTTGTCAAAAGCAGAAGTTGCTACAAATAGATGCCAAGATGTGGCAGCAGACACAGAGGAAGTGACTGGAGGAGCAGATGTAAGAAAATTTAATGTTTACTTATGTGATGAAAGGAACAATGTTAGTTACACAGATTTTATTTTTATGCTTCAGTTTTAAGCTACAACTAGATAAAAATGTTACTGCAGCTCACGTATCTGTTTAAACATTGGGTTTGATCTGGAAAATAATAATCTTGACTTTATAGGAGGAAAAATAAGTTATTTGATCTATAAATGCTTTTACAACAGAAAAATGCTTGAATTCAGAAGAATTGTTGATACACAACATATTTCATTTATATGTTTTTTTTCTCACAGCCTTCTGCTTCTGACATTTTTATAGAAAACTCCTTTTGACTGCACTTATGATTCTCATTCTAGACCAGTGGTTCTTAACCTTTTTTGAGGTACAGAACCCACCAGTTTCATATGCGCATTCACTGAACCCTTCTGTAGTGATAAATAAAATTAAAATCAGATTTCCCTCCCCCCCCAAATTCAAGACACTAAGTCATATTAAAAGGTAGAGTCTCTGAGAACAGTTCTTCAAAATATAGTCAGTGTTTCAGCAAAGTTGAGCTGACTGTCCAGGAACGACCCAAGGTATATAAAATTTTTACAGTTTTAACAGGTTGGCCATCGAGAGAAACTGGAACCACTTTAAGGTCTTGTTTAGATTATTTAATTAGCTCTACATTCTTAAGAGAATGAAAAATTAATAATAAATAATAAAGACTTTACCGTTTTCTGATTTAGTACTGTAATAATACTAGTTGTATTACCACCCCCATGCCACTAGAGGCAGTAGCAGGCCCGAAAAGATGCGACTACGGAGCAGATTTAGAAGTATACCAATTCCTCGTTTTTCGCGGG